CTTTGCAGCAACCCATGAGGTTTTGGGGTACTGCTCAGGCTTCCAATATGTTCCATCAGCATTAAGTTTCCTCTCAAAGGCAATACCCTATTTCCTAGGGTTTCTATTGAGGATCTGCTTTTTGAGCACATCACAAAGAATCTGATGCCCTTTGAGGCTTTTGTACACGCCTGTCGTGTACAGTTCCTTCGGCCCTGCATCGTTAGTGATACTAGCAATGTCCTCAGATGAGGAATTAGTGATAGCTAAGGCAGGTGAAGAATTTGTAACAGTTGAAGCATTTGAACATTCAGGTGAAGAATTAGCAGATTCACGTTCAATGCACTTTAAGCATGGAGGAACAAATTCTTCCTGAGAAGTGCTGATTTGTTGAGCAAGTAATGAATCGCGCTCCTTCTGAAGATCTTCATAACTCACTCTTAGCTTCTCAAGATCTTGCTTTCTTTGAAGAAATTCATAAGAAAGTTTCTCATGATCAGATAAGAGAGTGTTATGATGACTTTGAAGGTTATCAAACCTAGACTGAAGTCTCTGAAGATTTTCAGTCAGGGCTTTAGTGCGATCCATTTCTTCACCCAACATATCATCACTTTTGTCTAGCATGTTTTGAACCTTTTCCAAGGCATGTTATTGTTTGGTGGCAATGCAAACAAGTTTGGTATAGCTAGGTTCAATATCATCATCAGATTCATCATCATCAGATTCACAGTTACTAAATTCAGATGAGGAACATTCGGTTACCTGGACACCCTTTGCCATGAGACATGATGCACAAGATGATGATTCTGGTTCGAAAGTCATCGATTTGAGAGATTCCTTGAAGTCCTCAAACCAAGGATCTTGACGGGTTCGATGACCTTCATAGACGTCGGAGATTCGGTCCCAGATAAGCTTTGCATTGCAAAGATGCATAATGTGCCTGAATTGATCTCTGGATAGGCAGGAACAGATGATATCCTTCGCCATGAAGTCAAGTCGAGTGTATTTGCGAATATCATCTACGTTCGCCAACTTGCATAGATCAGTAAGACCAATCTCAGTGACGGTCCACAGCTCGATGTCCCTTGCCATGAGGCGCTTCCTCATCATGGCCTTCCACTTGGGATAATCATGACCGTCAAAGATAGGGCATGTCACTTTCTTCATACCTGCGGTCGACATTACTAAAACTCCAGGCGGTTAAACCAAAATCACACAGAACAAGGGAGTACCTTGCTCTGATACCAATTGAAAGTGCATTATGTCGACTAGAGGGGGGGTGAATAGGCGATTTTTATGAATTCTTCACTGAGGAATTTGCCGGTGAGGAAATTCCTTAGTGAAGAACTATTAGCAGCGGAATAGGTACTCAGAAGTAAGCATAACAGAATACAAGCATGGTCATCATGATGAAATGAAGACTAGCACAGAGTACAAAAAGCGTAATCACAGGATAACACAAGATGAAGAAAAACAGGTTGAAGAAATTGAACTAAGGAAATTGAGAAAGTCTTCAGTCAAAGTCTTCAAACACAGATATGAACAAACAGTCAACACAGTAATGAGGAAATGAAAGGGTTGAGGAAATAGAACCAGTAGGTTGGTGAAGACAATGATTTGGTAGACCAGTTCCAACTGCTGTCTCAGTTGTACGTCCGGTTGGAGCGGCTGAGTATTTAAACTCGAGGACACACAGTCCAGGACACCCAGTCATTGAGCACGCAGCTCAGGACACCCAGTCCTCACCGTATTCTCCTTGAACTAAGGTCACGCAGACCTCGTCCAATCACTCGTGGTAAGTCTTCAGGCTACTTCCAAACCTTCACAGACTCGGTCACTCGACGATCCACAATTCCTCTTGGATGCTCTAGACCTTGACGCCTAACCGTCTGGAAGAAGAACAGTCTTCAAAGGTAACAAGCGTCGGATCCATGCAGGATCAATTTCTTCAGTGATGCTCAATCACTTTGGGTTTGTAGGGGTTTGGTTTTGGGTTTTCCTCACTCGATGATTTTCGCTCAAAGTTCTCGGAGGATGGGTTCTCTCAAATGACAGGTGTCAAGTTCTCTCGGAGCAGCCAACCAGCTAGTGGTTGTATGGGGCGGCTATTTATAGCCTAGGGAGCAGCCCGACATGATAAGACATAAATGCCCCTTAATGATATGACCGTTAGGTGGATAAGATATTTTGGGATAGCTGGCGCGCAGCACAGCAACAGTCGGAAATTTGACTCTCAAATTCCTCAAGGCTATCATGTTCCTCACTGTGTAGGTAATTCGTACTGACGAATTCCTAACTCCTCGGTCAAAATAAATTCATCAGTGACCAGAAGAACTTCGTCTCTGTCACTGAAGAAAGTGACCGAACTGTATGAGATTTCCAAAGGCTTCACTCAAAGGGATTGGTAGGTGTAGGATTTTGAGTTGAGCATCAAATGGAAATTTTTCCTTAGTATTTCCTCGACCCCCTTTAACAGTACGGTGTTTCCTATGACTCAAGAAAGAGAAAATGAAACTATGAAAACAATAGTCTTCACACTTCATGTTCCACAAATGAATACCAAGTCTTCAAGGTCACACCAATTTCTTCACTTTCAAAGTCTTCAGAAAGTCTTCAGAATATCATAGTCTTCAGTTGAAGAACTTCATTTTTAGGGGTCGACTTTCTCTGTAAATATCAAACTCCTCATAGACTTATAGACATGTGCACACTTACAAACGCATTAGTCCCTTAACCTATAAGTCTTCAATACACCAAAATCACTAAGGGGCACTAGATGCACTTACAGGACGATCTGTCCCTTGCTGGAAGCCGGTGGGCGATTTCCTTGGCCAAATAACCAGCCTCCCGGATCTTGGTAATGTCCTTCTCCTTGACGGTAGAGGCCATCCACTTGCCCTGCGCTCCGGATCCGAACATGGTTGGACTGCTTTCTTGGGGCGGAAAAGATGAGAACTTGGGCGCTGGAGCTTGAGAATGGGGCAGGCAGAGAGAGAGAAGGCATGGGTGAAAAAGGGTGAATCTTTATCTCCTTATAACGACACGAATATCAAGCGCCTCCCCACTTGCCTTAAAACTCGCCTATTCCCCATGGGCCGTGCAAATGACATGGTTGGGTTACCCACGCCCGTATTGATGAGAATCTCACAATAAGGGGACACAATCTCTGCTTTGACAAGACGTGCCAATGAAACCGCATCTCGATATATGGAGCGGCAGGCTAAAAACGATTCGAATAATGGCCGGGCGGCGACGTGATGTCACGCTACAAAAAGTTGTCAGCGGATTGGACTCGTGAAATACTATACTCTCTGCGGTTGTGTGTGGTATTTGTTTTGCAGAGACGGACACGTTTTCTGTATTCGAATGATGCTTTGGAGTATTCGGAGGAGAAACCCCCATTGCAATGCCGAAGACAATCTGCGCGCCAGACACCTCGTCATTGAAGCTTGGTTCAGGGGCTACTGAGGGAGTCCTGGATTAAGGGGTCCTCGGACGGCCGGACTATGTAACGTGGGCCGGACTGATGGGTTGTGAAGATACAAGACAGAAGACTTCTTCCCGTGTCTGAATGGGAGTCTCCTTGGCGTGGAAGGCAAGCTTGGCTTTCCGATATGAAGATTCCTTTATCTGTAACCAACTTTGTACAACCCTAGTCCCCTCCGGTGTCTATATAAACTGGAGGGTTTAGTCCGTAGAGGCAATCATAATCATACAGACTAGACTTTTAGGGTTTTTAGCCATTACGATCTCGTGGTAGATCAACTCTTGTAATACTCATATTCGTCAAGATCAATCAAGCAGGAAGTAGGGTATTACCTCCATAGAGAGGGCCCGAACCTGGGTAAACATCGTGTCCGCCGCGTCCTGTTACCATCAACCTTAAACGCACAGTTTGGGACCCCCTACCCGAGATCCGCCGGTTTTGACACCGACAGACCTCACCCGTCGTGAGTTTCTCCGGCTATGAATATTATTTGGTTGTCCCTGATGACTAGTCTCACTTCTCTTGGTCTTTTCCGTTATGGCGTAAATCGGACATGTCCTCCACTCTACAACATTTCTTCGCTCACGTTCGAACCCTATACAACTTCATCATCAAGGACATCCGATGTGACAATGGCGGTGAGTTCATCAACTCCACCCTCTGCTCCTTCTTCTCCACCCATGGCGTCTCCTATCATTTCTCGTGTCGCCACACCTCCCCTCAAAATGGCAAGGCCGAAACCAACTTCCCCGGGCCTACGTGCCCACTCTATGGGGTGTATATATGTACCACTGATGTATGTGTGATTCATTCAACAAGAGAGCAAGTTTACTCTCCAACTGAAAATTGTAAATAAGCTTTCAATAGAATCAATTTCATTGTGTATGTATGATAGGTTGCTCTGCCATCTACTCCCTTCGTTCAGAAATATAGGTCGCTAGGAACTTTAAAACCTGCGAAATGACTAAATTACCCTGATAATTTTGAATCCTCCACCACCGATGGTCTTCCACCTCCGCCTCCCACCTTCGCCCCCTCGGCCCCTACACCAGCGTTTCCTCCTCTCCCACGCCCAAGATCAGCTGATCCTCCTCCTCTCCCACGTCGCCTAGGATCTTCATTGCCTGCTGGTGTTGGGCTCTACCTCGCCCCCGCCTAGGTGGAGGCGAGCTGGTGCTGAGCTCTTCCTCACCCGCGCAATGGACAAGTCACCGTCGATTTCATCGGTAAGTTGAACCATCTTGTTCGTTACATCAAGGGAACCATTTGCTCACAATTAGACTTGACGGGATCTGAATATCTGGACATGCATGTGTCTTACTATTTTGGAGTCTGAGTACATGTCCTGTTTTGGTTTGGTACCAGCCGAGCAGTTTGGTCTCCCTCTTCTTCGAGCCTCCCTGCTAAACAGAGGTGTCAATTTTACGTGGTCGCGCCCCCGACGGCAAAATTGACACCACAGAGGCTCATCAAAGAAGGTGCGGTTTACGTGGTCGTGCCGGGGAATCCAACGAACGGGTGCTCACCCACCATGATGGCGACCTGCTCGAGCTTCAACAAGACAATGATGTACGACTGCCTCGGCTGCCTAAGAGATATCACCCGTGTGGCCAAGTACCACAACTACATGCTCCGGGCGGCGATTGGCGTTCTCAGGGGCAAGTACTCGCATGTCAGGATCATCTACGCCGACTTCTACGGCCCGATCATCACGATCCTCCAAAACCCAAGTCGTTTTGGTAAGGATTATAAAGTTGGGTTAATTATTCTTTTGCCCTCAGTGGTGTCTATATGCTCAGTTTTGCCCTCAGTTGCGAATCGTGCTCAGTTTTGCCCCTAGTCCATGCGCAGCTACTATGACGAGGCCAAACGGCCAGATGTTAGTCAATTCCGCCCGCCGGTGTTAGTGGTATTGGGTCCGGAGCTTACACGTGGGACCGCATGGACGTGGGTTTGGAGCTGACATGTGGGACCGTGCAACAAAAATACCCAAATCAATCCTAGGGTTCTAACCTACCAACTCGACACCCACTCTGTCCCGTTCGCCGGCCGGCCGTCCTGCGCCGCCGACAGCACCTGCACCGCCACCAGGTGCGCTGCCACGACTGCGGCCGTCCTGCTCCACTACTACCTGCTCTGCCCGCCACCTTCCTGCGACACCACTGGTGGGGCGCCCGCCACCTGCTCGACCCACGGCGCGGCCTCCTTCCGTGCGCCTGGCCGGAGCGCTGATAGATGGAGGCTGGTAGAGCTGTTTGAAGTACGAGGGTGAACCCCAGGGCGAAATGGCGAGCTGCGGCGACCCCCGGAGTATTCGGCGAGGCAGGCATCGGGACGGAGATCCGCTGCATCCATGACTGGGTTCCCAAGGGGTGATACGTCTCCAACGTATCTATAATTTATGAAGCATTCATGCTATATTACTATGTGTTTTGAATGATTATGGGCTTTATTATACAACTTTATATTACTTTTGGGACTAACCTATTAACCGGAGGCCCAGCCCATATTAATGTTTTATTGCCTGTTTCAGTATTTCGAAGAAAAGGAATATCAAACGGAGTCCAAATGGAATGAAACCTTCGGCAACGTGATTTTTTGGAATAATATCATCCTGGAGACATGGAGTTCAAGTCAGAAGATACTCGAGGACTCCACAAGATGCGAGGGCGCTCCCCCCCCCCCCTGTAGGGCGCGCCCTCCTGTCTCGTGGGGCCCTCGAGCACCTCCCGACCGACTTCTTTCGCCTATATAGTCCCACGTACCCTAAAAACATCCACGGAGAAGATAGATCGGGAGTTCCGCCGCCGCAAGCCTCTGTAGCCACCAAAAACCTCTCGGGAGCCCATTCCGGCACCCTGCCGGAGGGGGATCCCTTCATCGGTGGCCATCTTCATCATCCCGGCGCTCTTCATGACGAGGAGGGAGTAGTTCACCGTCGGGGCTTAGGGTATGTACAAGTAGCTATGTGTTTGATCTCTCTCTCTCGTGTTCTCTCTCGTGTTCCCTCTATGGCACGATCTTGATGTATCCCGAGATTTGCTATTGTAGTTGGAACTTATGATGTTTCTCCCCCCTCTACTCTCTTGTGATGAATTGAGTTTCCCCTTTGAAGTTATCTTATCGGATTGAGTCTTTTATGAGAACACTTGATGTATGTCTTGCCATGCTTCTCTGTGGTGACAATGGGATATCATGTGCCTCTTGATGTATGTTTCGGTGACCAACTTGCGGGTTCCACCCATGAACCTGTGCATAGGGGTTGGCACACGTTCTTGACTCTCCGGTAGAAACTTTGGGGCACTCTTTGAAGTACTTTGTGTTGGTTGAATAGATGAATCTGAGATTGTGTGATGCATATCGTATAATCATGCCCACGGATACTTGAGGTGACAATGGAGTATCTAGGTGACATTAGGGTTTTGGTTGATTTGTGTCTTGAGGTATTATTCTAGTACGAACTCTTTTATAGATCGATCCGAAAGAATAACTTTGAGGTGGTTTCGTACCCTACCATAATCTCTATGTTTGTTCTCCGCTATTAGTGGCTTTGGAGTGACTCTTTGTTGCATATTGAGGGCTTGTTATATGATCTATCTATGTTATTATTGTTGAGAGAATTTGCACTAGTGAAAGTATGAACCCTAGGCCTTGTTTCCTATCGTTGCAACACCGTTTACGCTCACTTTTACCACTTGTTACCTTGCTGTTTTTATAATTTCAGATTACAATTACCTTTATCTACTATCTATTTTGCACTTGTATCACCATCTCTTCGCCGAACTAGTGCACCTATACAATTTTCCATTGTATTGGGTGTGTTGGGGACACAAGAGACTCTTTGTTATTTGGTTGCACGGTTGCTTGAGAGAGACCATCTTCATCCTACGCCTCCTACGAATTGATAAACCTTAGGTCATCCACTTGAGGGAAATTTGCTACTGTCCTAGAAACTTGTGCACTTGCAGGCCCAACAACGTCTACAAGAAGAAGGTTGTGTAGTAGACATCAAGGGGTAAGTCACACCTCCTGTTTAGATTGAGATTAGTTGTGCATTTTAACAGTCGATTTGACTTGGTTTGCCCGGTTAGTGTGCTAATTGCATCTTTGTTTTTCGTTGGTTAGGATGGAGTTGCGGTTTGCTTTCTTGATGCACATTAGAAGGGACCGTTACATGTTGAATGCAAAGAATAAGAAGAAATTCGAAGGAGGTTTTGATTATATGTTTCCAATGGCTTGTACTTGGAGTTTCAGACAATTTGGGGAGGTAATTTGTAGCCAATATCCTTGGGGTTTGCTTGATTAAGTGGAATACAAATACTATGATGGGGAAAAGAAATGGGTGACAATTAGTAATGATGAAGAGCTGGCTATCATGTTTGTTAGGCATAAGGAGAAAAATAATTTTCATGTGAGGCTGCAAATTGATGTGCTTGAGTAGGCATTTGGACCTAGGATGGCGGGTGCAACATCTCGGGGAGAACCAAGTCGTCATAATGGCAGCTCTAGCCAGAACAGTCCAGTTAGTGCACGACGACGTGGTGGCTCGGCAGTAAGGCCCCCCTTGAAGTGGAGCCTGATGCCTACAATTCTGGGGTTGATGAAGAGAATCTATATTCTGATGTTGTTCGGAATTTACGACGGGCACCTTGGGCTGAAAACCAAGATGAGGCTCACAATGCAGTTCATGTGGATGATGACGCGGTGGGTGAGGACGAACACCTAGCAGCTATTGAATGGGACCCTTTGAACCCTCATATGGAAGAAGGTGTCATTTTTGCATCCATGACTGAGTGTAGAAATGCACTTGTGACATACGGCATCAAGGTAGAACGTACTTTTAAAGTTGACAAGAGCGATCAAGTACGTTACAGAGTGCACTATCCAACTAAGGGTTGTCCATGGAGGATGCTCGCATCTAAAATGCGAAATAGCATGAATGCCCAGGTCAAAGTGAACCCTTTTAAGCACACATGCCAGGAATCAACCCTTAGGAAGGATACAATCAGTAGAGCCAAGTCAAGATGGGTGGCAGAAGAAGTAAAGAAGTGGGTGAAAAAAACCCAGCAAGTGGGTCCAAAGGAATTGCAGAAGAATATCAAAGACAAGTTCAAGATAGATTTACCATACATGAGGTAGTTCAATGGCAAACAATATGCTATGGATTCTATTTATGGTAACTGGCAGGAAAGTTTTCAATTGTTGTATTCATTCAAAGGTGAAGTGGAGAGGACCAGCCCAGGTAGTATTGTAGATATTGACCACCACACTATAGAGTACACATTCAGGGGAGTGACAAAGACAAAGGAATGCGTTAGGAGGGTTTTTTTCTGCTTTGAGGCTTGTCGCCGGGGTTTTTCAGCAGGTTGCAGGCCATATTTGGCATTGATGCTTCTTTTCTCACATGGAGGTTTAAAGGACAGTTAGTACCAGCTTGTGCATTTGATGCAGACAGTTTTGTATTTCCAGTTGCGTACGGTGTGCTGGAGACAGAGTCTGAGGAGAGATGGACTTGGTTTTTGCATAATCTGCATCGGGCTACTGCACATCCCAATGGGTTGGTAATTCATATAGATACCTGCAAAGGTTTAGAAGTGGCCGTGGACAATGTGTTCCCTAGAGTAGAGCATAGGGAATGCATGCATCACCTTGCCGCAACTTTTGTGAAGAAATTCAAAGGAAAGGTGTATACCGACAATTTATGGCCAGCATCTTTGACTTGTAGTGTGAAGAAGCACAACTACCACTTGAGGCAGTTATACATGAATCCCAAAGTGAAAGAATACTTGGAAACACACCACTCCAAGTTATGGGCCAGAAGCCAATTCAGTGAACTAAGCAAAGTTGACTATGTGCACAATAATCTAGCAGAGTCTTTCAACTCAACGATGCGGAAACTAAAGGGTCATTATGTGGTGGATTTCTTGATAGGATAAGGATAGAATACATGCAGAAATTTCATTATCATGCAGGAATAGCCGAGGAAAAATTCATGGGCCACATTATCATCCATGCCGTGATGAATGAACTGAAGCAGAAAACAACAAGCTTGGAAATGAACATGACGCTTTGCTCAAGTACCACAGCAGAGATATCATATTTGGATAAAGAGAAGAGGGAATGGAGATATCCAGTGGATTTAGAAGCTAGAACTTGCAGTTGTAGGCAATGGCAGATAACTGGGTTGCCATGCATTCATGCCTTGGTTTTCATCACTTCTCTCCCGGTCCAGCAGGGACCATACAGCAGTATGTGCATGATTACTACTCTGTTGCAAGGTTCAAAGCCACGTATGCATATGCCTTGCCTGCTATGGAGGGAAAACAACAATGGGACATGGTGGACCCTGGATTCAAGCTTTGCGCTCCAGTTCTGAAGAGAGCAGCAAGTAGACCAAGGAAGAGTCGAATCAGACCTCGCAGCGAAGGAGCCGGACTTGGAGCGAGGAAGCGGTTCGAGTCCCAGACGCACCAATTTTTTGTGCATTTTCCACTCTTCATTTTTTAGACAAATTATTTTTTCTCAATGTAATGCCCTTCAAAAATGTTCATTAATTTTGGCACCAGGTGTAAACCTCTACCAGAGCTGAGGCACATTTTCCATGACATTTTGGTCTTTGATTTAATTCACGGTGTATTTGAATTGGAGTAATTAAATATCTATTCAATATTTAACAACTCCAAAATAATTCTAAACTTAATGGTTTGGCTCTGGAATAATTCAATTAGCTTCCACAAAAAGTTTCAGCATTAAATAAAATGATTTACTACCTAAATTAAATCAAAACAGAAAACAGAAAAAGACGGAAGAGATCTCTTGCCCACCCCCAAATGGGTCTAA